GGGGGGGGGCAGGAGTACATGAACATTTGTTCACTCGAGGCGAGTCATGTTCGTCAAAGAAAGAGAGGAACAACACGCGCCGGGAGTAAGCGGTCTCCGACGAACAAGTAAAAAAAGGGAAATTTTCTAAATTAGGCGATGTTCCAGGAACGTAAAATAGCCTTTTCGTCATAAGTGTGACATGCTTCTGTCAATCGGAACTATAGGCGCTTACTCTCCCGGATGTTTCAAGAGGGATTCGGAATGGTGGAAATCTGGAGCATGAGGGAAAATTAGACTTCTTATCTCATTGCCCTGTAAACAAAACATTCTAATAAATTATGATGTTATGGGGATAATGAATGATAATAAGGTTCATGCTGACACACCCTTCATCAGGTTAAAAGTTGATGGCCGACACTTGTCGTCCATGGTTCATTTCCAGGTTTAGATACTGGAAATGTTATGGTTTTCTAGTCGAGGGTGTGAGCTTAGAACAAATATTGTTATGGAAATCAAAAGTCATTGTTATAAGGTTTATAGAACAAATATTAACATTGAGGCCGTAACCTATAAGACAGCGTAGTTTGACAGTGATAAAGACTCTCCTAGGCGGGACGCATGAGTCTGAATTCGTAATTAAGTGTTAGTAAACTGTTAGACGTGGTATGTGCATAAAGTCGAATGTGATAGGAATATACAATGTGGTTCTGAAGTAGGAGGGTTATCTAGTGTATATCATCTCACTTTGATGTTGGATTCAGATTTTATTTCTTTACGGGAGACATTAAATGACTATAATTTACGTTCATCTCGACGAGAAGTACAAAAAAATATGTAAAACTTGGCCGGTGATCAAGGCATGATATTAAAGACGTATGCGCATGCGTAATTTCAGTCACCTTTGTTGAAATTAGAGCGTGATTTTTGTCCATTGCATTGGCGTGCACGTGATTCTGTTTGTTAATACATTAACAATAACGTTCTGTCGTTTCATCAATGGTCTCCATTACATTGAAATACCGAAGTTATCGTCACTATTACATAATTGCACAATAAAATATGATATCAAATGGATATTTTGATTTGTTATAAAGTAGTTTCAGTTAATTTTTAGGCTAAACGTAACGCAGTTACGTTGCAGCCTATTGTCAACGCCGCCTGTGTACAACTTCAATCCTAGCATTCTGATTGGTCTAAATCTTCCAACAAGTTACTAACACCACCTAGTGTTGAAATGTGTAAACGGTCTACCGCCATTACTCGAAATGGTTTTCTGTATACATACAATTGCTGCGAGACAAACAATAAATAAACAAGTAGCTTACCCTATCACAAAGTCACGCATTTTTGACACTTTTCTGATTGACACACACGTCAAACATAAACTGACATTGTTCTAGTTTACATTAATTTTCTGATACGTTGACAATATGGCGGGGCGAACTGGATTATGGGATGACTGACTTTGCACTGTCGTGTCAAACCAGAAACGTATTATCAAACCAACATTGTCATTGTGGATTTGAACCTTTTAATTAGTATTTGGATATCATTTTCATTTGTCAGTATCGATGCATAATTAAATTTTAAAAATCTTCGGATGTTAGAAAAAAAAACAGAGCTTCCAAAATAATCGTAAAATTTCTTCGGACTTCTTCGGTTTTCTTCGGAGATTCACTTTTTCTGCTGCTGCTGAAGAGAGCTGACATCGACCACAGGGGCTTGTATAGACTTGTATGATAATATTAGCTTGAAATACCTATATATGATGACTTTATATATATGTGTTTCAAGCTATTTTGTCATATATGAGTTGTATACAAGCCCCTGTGCATCGATTATCAACTGCTCGCATTTTACGCCTAAGAAAAGATTTTTTCAGACCGTAAGTAAGCACAACCATATGTGATGTCTGTAATTGAATACTGTGAGAATACATTTTTTCAATTTTGAAAACGATGGAGAAGTGAGGATTTAGAAGTTTCACGAGCACTATGCACGTATGGCCACCATGACACTATTTACATTGATCACACAGAAAATAATTATTTTCATCAACTTTACGGAGCAAGGAATATATGCCCTATACTTATATAGAATTTTGATTCATCAGGTATTTATTTCAATGTGTTGAACATTCAGTAATGGGCACGTCGGCTATGCATGCATATCGGACCCACGCGCGTAACAGTCGCCATGACACTTTTCGAAGTAAAAAACAACCCATTCTGTTTATTTGCACTTAGTTCTTCATTAAATAACATATTGAAAAGAAATCAATAGTTAATACAGCTGAGATAGAACACACTTAATACCACAACATGGATAGTATTTTATGCACCCTTTAAAGTGTACCCGGAATGATTTGCAATATTAAGTTTGAAAATACACCACGTCATAAAACAGAAACATAGCGACTTTCGTTTCAGAGAAATCACGATATTTCTTGAAATCTCATCTGTGGCCTCACAGCGATGACCCCGTTTCGGTGTCCCAGACCTGTGACGTCACAAGTTCAACGCGGAGAGGAGCGATATGTACCGTGATATATGCGGTCTGTCGTGTGATTAACAAAGTTTTCATCTTCTTTTTATTGTGATTACACACCAATAGACATTTATTTTAACGCAAAGGTGTTGTGGAAGGAGCTCGTATCGAGGAGGAATAAAACACGTGTTGTGTATGGATGTCGGAACACGCATGCAAATAGTGTCTCATTTCCACGCAATTCCCTTGAACTTGTCAGTGTTTAGAAACAATGCGTACAGTTTGTTGAAAGTGGGAAATACCTACGAAATGTTCCTATTGTGTTCATTCCATACTCCCTGACCAACATCCTACTCGTTCACCCCGGCCCCTAAACAATGTGATGGCTGTTTTCTTCAACGACAAACATAGATCTACTGGAACATATATAATTTGAATATATTTTTGATGTAATACAAATGAACTACGCCTTTCATTCTATCAAGGACCTTTATGTAATATTAGCTGAGAGCCATGAAATACCACGGACTTGTATATACCTAATATATGTTCGTGGAAGTACGAAAAGTATTTTTGTTCAGCAAACGCCTTTGAAATCTCGTACTCGGGGAAGGGATGCTCATACTTGTCAGCAGAAACATTTACAAAGGGAAAATGATTCATATCTATACATGTATGTGTTAAATCGGGTTTTTTAAATCGTTTACGAGACAGCTAAATATAACACTAATTAACAGATTAAACATGGCTGACGGGCAACTAACAGTGATAAATAACGGCACTCAAAACCAATTTTATAACTTACAATAGCAGGATAATTGTTTATCAGTAACACTATGATATTGTTTTTATTGATATACGATTAATTAAACAGATAAACCCAAACCCGTATAAGGCGAACCGTGACTGACACGCGTATTTAAAACGCTTATCTGTTGTAAATCTAATGTATTTAAGCTTCAATTGTAAAACTTTTTATTACTTTCATATTAATCATCTTCGCCATAACCAAATCCGTTTTCAATTCGCAATCTGGCCCCGTACAGCTATCACTCTCTACTGGCTGCCGCTGGTTGAACTTGTGACGTCACCGCCAGACTTGAAAAGCTCTCATTCAGCTTAAGTGACCAGTACGCTGATAAGCAGTAGATCGACAGGTGCAAATTGCACACTTCGGGGATTGATATCTCGGTACTGGATTTATTTGCATCATGTAATTGATTTGGTAGTTAAAATACAATGTATTTACATAGATGCAACTTCTTATAGCAGATTTTTCATTAGGGTCAATTTTTTCAGGAAGATTATAAAAGATCACTCAACTAAAAAAATCATTTATTTTACTACTTGTGGTTTAAGTACATGTAAAATCCTGTTTTGTGTAGATTTTGTATTTATATTTCCAAACATTCCAATGTTATTTACAGATATTATTTTATATATTTTATTTACTAATATAAATCTTAGGTCTTCATAATGGCATGCTATTCAGTTACCAAAAGCTACATTCACAGTACCAAGTGATATTGGAAAACTTTTTCATAGACAGAGGCAGCACATTTGATGTTTATAATATAATCATAAATGTAAAAATAAAATATCTGATCACCTATATTGTTTAATTTGTTGCACTTTCTTTTGTTAACTTGTTCTTTATATTAGAAGTCTTAACCGAGCTAAGATAAACTAAGGGTGCGATCAAGTTTGTAAAATGTTCTATTGTTTGTAAATTTCATTTGAAATCCCCCACTTCAATATTTTTTTGGATAATGACTTGTATGATCAAACTTAGCTTGATGGTAACCCTTAAAGCTTAACGATGATGTAAATTGACAACTTAATGTGTTTAGCCTTTCAGTACTTTCAGTACTTTGATTCTATTAAGTCTCATCCCAAAAAATCATGTCACTGATTAGTCGTTTAGATATCAAAAGCGATCGTTGTCACAGTAAAAGTATCACTTTTAGAATTACTACTCAGAACGGTCCTTTCTAATCACTTCCGTATATTGCATAACAGTTTATATAAAACAAAACCCACTGCCCTCTTTTGCAACTTCAACTTATTAACATGATTGGTGTTTTTTGTAGGAACCTTACTTATCTGTGTTTGTAGATGATATCCCACTGTTTAGCTACTGTTATAACTATTACTAACAAACTGTTTTGTATTCCAGGAGCCTTCCTCATCCCCTACCTAATATGTGTGGTGGTAGGCGGTATACCACTGTTCTACCTAGAGGTGGCTGTCGGCCAGTTTATGGGAACCAGTGGCCTCGGGGCGTGGAACATCTGTCCCCTCCTTCAGGGTAGGTCCAGTAGCTTTTAAATCGATGCATTCTGGGTAGAGAGTCTGTATATGCACAATAGTAGAGAACATATTTTTTGTTCTTTAATACAAAGAACCAAATGAACTTAAACATAATAACCAATTTCAACCTATCACAATTTAGGATAGGTCCAGTAAATTCATGTTTTTATCGACGCTTTCTGGGTAGAGATTCCTACCATCATACAAACTGTTGACATAATATCAGTGTAGAACAGTAAACCAGGCAGGGATCCTAATATGACGACGGTAACATTTGAATCCGAAGAAATTGTTACCTGTTCTTTAAATACAAAGCGTCAAATTAACCAAAGCCTACTTAACCAGATTAAAATAGTCTCAGCTAACGGTAATCAGACGTCTGTATTGACGTACCCCCTCGTTATAGTTTACGGTAATTAGGCGTCCGTATTGACGTACTGTTATTTTGTTATTTGTAGGACTAGGGATAGCCACGACCATCATTGTATTCTTCCTCACCTGTTACTTTGTTATTTGTAGGACTAGGGATAGCCACGACCATCATTGTATTCTTCCTCCACTGTTACTTTGTTATTTGTAAGACTAGGGATAGCCACGACCATCATTGTATTCTTCCTCCACTGTTACTTTGTTATTTGTAAGACTAGGGATAGCCACGACCATCATTGTATTCTTCCTCCACTGTTACTTTGTTATTTGTAAGACTAGGGATAGCCACGACCATCATTGTATTCTTCCTCCACTGTTACTTTGTTATTTGTAAGACTAGGGATAGCCACGACCATCATTGTATTCTTCCTCCACTGTTACTTTGTTATTTGTAAGACTAGGGATAGCCACGACCATCATTGTATTCTTCCTCCACTGTTACTTTGTTATTTGTAAGACTAGGGATAGCCACGACCATCATTGTATTCTTCCTCCACTGTTACTTTGTTATTTGTAAGACTAGGGATAGCCACGACCATCATTGTATTCTTCCTCCACTGTTACTTTGTTATTTGTAAGACTAGGGATAGCCACGACCATCATTGTATTCTTCCTCCACTGTTACTTTGTTATTTGTAAGACTAGGGATAGCCACGACCATCATTGTATTCTTCCTCCACTGTTACTTTGTTATTTGTAAGACTAGGGATAGCCACGACCATCATTGTATTCTTCCTCCACTGTTACTTTGTTATTTGTAAGACTAGGGATAGCCACGACCATCATTGTATTCTTCCTCCACTGTTACTTTGTTATTTGTAAGACTAGGGATAGCCACGACCATCATTGTATTCTTCCTCCACTGTTACTTTGTTATTTGTAAGACTAGGGATAGCCACGACCATCATTGTATTCTTCCTCCACTGTTACTTTGTTATTTGTAAGACTAGGGATAGCCACGACCATCATTGTATTCTTCCTCCACTGTTACTTTGTTATTTGTAAGACTAGGGATAGCCACGACCATCATTGTATTCTTCCTCCACTGTTACTTTGTTATTTGTAAGACTAGGGATAGCCACGACCATCATTGTATTCTTCCTCCACTGTTACTTTGTTATTTGTAAGACTAGGGATAGCCACGACCATCATTGTATTCTTCCTCCACTGTTACTTTGTTATTTGTAAGACTAGGGATAGCCACGACCATCATTGTATTCTTCCTCCACTGTTACTTTGTTATTTGTAAGACTAGGGATAGCCACGACCATCATTGTATTCTTCCTCCACTGTTACTTTGTTATTTGTAAGACTAGGGATAGCCACGACCATCATTGTATTCTTCCTCCACTGTTACTTTGTTATTTGTAAGACTAGGGATAGCCACGACCATCATTGTATTCTTCCTCCACTGTTACTTTGTTATTTGTAAGACTAGGGATAGCCACGACCATCATTGTATTCTTCCTCCACTGTTACTTTGTTATTTGTAAGACTAGGGATAGCCACGACCATCATTGTATTCTTCCTCCACTGTTACTTTGTTATTTGTAAGACTAGGGATAGCCACGACCATCATTGTATTCTTCCTCCACTGTTACTTTGTTATTTGTAAGACTAGGGATAGCCACGACCATCATTGTATTCTTCCTCCACTGTTACTTTGTTATTTGTAAGACTAGGGATAGCCACGACCATCATTGTATTCTTCCTCCACTGTTACTTTGTTATTTGTAAGACTAGGGATAGCCACGACCATCATTGTATTCTTCCTCCACTGTTACTTTGTTATTTGTAAGACTAGGGATAGCCACGACCATCATTGTATTCTTCCTCCACTGTTACTTTGTTATTTGTAAGACTAGGGATAGCCACGACCATCATTGTATTCTTCCTCCACTGTTACTTTGTTATTTGTAAGACTAGGGATAGCCACGACCATCATTGTATTCTTCCTCCACTGTTACTTTGTTATTTGTAAGACTAGGGATAGCCACGACCATCATTGTATTCTTCCTCCACTGTTACTTTGTTATTTGTAAGACTAGGGATAGCCACGACCATCATTGTATTCTTCCTCCACTGTTACTTTGTTATTTGTAAGACTAGGGATAGCCACGACCATCATTGTATTCTTCCTCCACTGTTACTTTGTTATTTGTAAGACTAGGGATAGCCACGACCATCATTGTATTCTTCCTCCACTGTTACTTTGTTATTTGTAAGACTAGGGATAGCCACGACCATCATTGTATTCTTCCTCCACTGTTACTTTGTTATTTGTAAGACTAGGGATAGCCACGACCATCATTGTATTCTTCCTCCACTGTTACTTTGTTATTTGTAAGACTAGGGATAGCCACGACCATCATTGTATTCTTCCTCCACTGTTACTTTGTTATTTGTAAGACTAGGGATAGCCACGACCATCATTGTATTCTTCCTCCACTGTTACTTTGTTATTTGTAAGACTAGGGATAGCCACGACCATCATTGTATTCTTCCTCCACTGTTACTTTGTTATTTGTAGGACTAGGGATAGCCACGACCATCATCGTGTTCTTCCTCAACTGTTACTACAATGTCATTTTGTGCTGGGCCTTTTACTACATGTTTAGTTCCTTTGCTTTGGAGCTACCCTGGGCTACATGTGATAACTGGTGGAACACAGACCGCTGCTCGACGTTCTCCGAGGAGGCTTCCTTAAACAGCACAGCTAACGTGACCAGCAACGTCACTGACAGCGGTCTGAAAAAGCTGGACGCTGTCACGGAATTCTGGGAGTAAGTAACGTCAGCGTCAGTTAAGATAATTATCATGAGTTTTTTGTGACAGGATGTTTATTGGTATTTAGCGATAATTTGTATGCCAATACTACCTTAAAAATGTCACACACTCCTTAATGGTGATGCGCTACCGCAAAGCAAATATGAGGACTAACATTGTTTGAACAGAGTTAATGATGCTATCTAATACATGTTTATTAAAGTCTTCATTTAAGGGGAAGTTAAAATAGATATTGTTTTCCTCGCACCTGAAAACATTTAAATAAAAGTATTAATTGAAAAGTTGACTAAATGTACTCAAAACTGTGTTTCAATATTTCTCCTTTAACGTAAATGGTTGCATTATATTTCAAAAGTCAAACCCTTTTAACACTGACCAGTTAGTGCATGTATCTATTTTACTAAAACTTCTGGTCGTTATACATTATTTTTGATATTTTAGGCGGAAGGTTCTGGCCATATCTGAAGGTATCGAGTACATGGGGCCCGTTAAATGGGACTTGGCCCTTACACTTCTGTTTGCCTGGATCGTGGTCTACCTCTGTATCTGTAAAGGCATCAAGTCCTCCGGGAAGGTAAAGTGTGACACACCCGGTCCGTATTACAGTGGGTCGGGACTGTATATCTTACTTATCTCTCTATAAATCCGCTACATTTGTAGAAGAGGTGTGTTTTTTTCTGAACCAAACTTGTAACTTAAGATAATCCGACTATTTTCATGGCACTATTCATTCCATATGTTATTTTTCTATCAAATCCATGTAATTTCAGAATAACGATAGTATATCGTTAAATTTCGAGCATTTGAAACGTAACGCGCTGACATCACACTCACGTATCATAAAATAGCGCCACTTTCTTGAAGATTCTAGGTCTATCAGAACTGTCTATTGACTTTTTCCCTGCACAAGAGTATTCGAGGTTCAACGTAATACGAATTAATATCGTTATTTTGTATCCAAACTCCAAATTATTTCACACTGGTGAAAATAATGTTGTTGATGCTAAATATATGACGTCATGATTCTTATAGGTGATGTACATCACCGCTACGACACCATACCTGTTTATGACGGCCCTGTTGATACGTAACTCCTTGCTGGAAGGAGCTATTGATGGGGTGGAATTTTACCTGAAGCCTAACATCACCAAGTTATCAGAAATAGAGGTAAGGCTATGTAGTCTTGTTAANATAGAGGTAAGGCTGTCTAGTCTTGTTACAGTAGACTTACACTAGGGATAGAGGTAAGGCTGAA